TCAGTTTATAAACTAAATATTTAGTTAACAAGCTAAATATTTAACTTGTGACTGACATATTTAGTTTTGAGCTAAATATTTAGCTTGCAACTTAAATATTTAGTTTATAAACTGACATTTATAAATGTATGAATCACATGGTGAAAAACTGACTTTGAAAAATAAATCTGTTCTTTTTTTCTTATAAAAGGCCAAATAAAACAAAAATATTGGTGGTAATTTTTGAATGTATAACTTTACAAACAGCTCCCAATATACAAAAACCTACAAAATGAACTAAGAGGAAAACAGTTGTGTGAGTGCTGAGTCAGCAGATAGTTTTATTTAAACATTGTCACCAACAGAGGACCTCTAACTTGAGATTCTCTGTGGCTGCTCAGGGAAGGAAGCCATGCTGCTGATGCAAAGTCTGAACAAACTGGACACTCCAGAGCAGAAACTAGAAGCCATCATCAAGAAGCACGCTGAGCTGGTGAGTGRGTGAGCGTGTAGACCGAAAGCTCCTCCCTTCTTGAAAAATGCTGACACGTATTTGTGCAGGTGGAGGAGCACCGCAGTGATCAGAAGCAGATGAAGACCCTGCAGAAGAAGCTGCTGCAGGTGGTGAAGGAGAAGGACCAGCTGCAGAGCGAACACAGTCGGGCCGTGTTGGCTCGCAGTAAACTGGAGGGGCTCTGCAGGGAGCTGCAAAGACACAACAAGACTTTAAAGGTTCTTCTGATCTAACKCTACCTGATGACATGGAGCTTCACAAGCAGCTGGGCTAAATTAACATGGTGTCAATTCAGAGCCTGCTGTGGTTATTTAAGGTGGATAGATTTATCATAATTTAAGACTCAGGATTTYTTGAAGGAATGCATTTCACCTGCTGCCTTAATGCCAGTTTTAGACAAAGACAATCCTCTGATGAGAAATGACAGAAAGACAGGTTGTTAATGACTTACTGCCACATCTCATCTTAGCTCACTGTTTTCAAGTTGTAGTCAGTGTGTTTGTTCATATGGATCATCTTCATTCCTCTGTTTACTGCCTGCCAAGCATCTACCATGACTTTCATTATTAACTCTGGTAGAACGTGGGCACTGTACAACATAGATACTGTAGAACATAGATACTGTAGAACATAGGTACTGTAGAATATAGATACTGTAGAACATAGGTACTGTAAAACATAGGTACTGTATAACATAGGTACTGTAAAACATAGGTACTGTAGAATATAGGTACTGTAGAATATAGGTACTGTAGAACATTGGTACTGTAGGACATACTGTATGTACTGTAGAACACAGATGCTGTAGAATGTAGGTACTGTAGAACATAGATACTGTAGAATATAGGTACTGTAAAATATAGGCACTGTATAACATAGGTACTGTATAACATAGGTACTGTATAACATAGATACTGTAGAACATAGGTACTGTATAACATAGATACTGTAGAACATAGATACTGTA